AACTCTGTGCACGATCGAGGGATTCTCTAACTGAATCTGAATGACTTTGAGATTGATTTTGTTGGAGTTTCATTGACTTCAATTGATTCTGATTAATTGTGACTGACTCCGATTTATTTTGACTGACTCTGGTTGACTTTGATTGACTCTGATTAACTCTGACTGACTTTGATTGAATTTGACTGACTCAAATTGACTCGTATTGACTCGTATTGACTCATATTAACTCAGATTGACTCGTATTGACTCAGATTAACTCGTATTGATTCAGATTAACTCGTACTGGCTCAGATTAACTCGTATCGATTCGTATTGGCTCATATTAATTCAGATTGATACGTATTGAATCAGATTGACTCGTATTGATTCAGATTAACTCGTATTGACTCAGATTAACTCGTATTGATTCGTATTGACTCAGATTAACTCGTATTGATTCAGATTAACTCGTATTGATTCGTATTGACTCATATTAACTCAGATTGATACGTATTGAATCAGATTAACTCGTATTGACTCAGATTAACTCGTGTTGACTCGTATTGACTCAGACTGACTCAGACTGACTCATATTTACTTAGATTGACTGTACTCGAAGTGCAAATCCCGTTCATCCGACAGACAGACTGTCTTACTGTACTCGAGATCCACGAAAATGTACCAGCTATTGAAAAAAAAAAAAAAAAATCTAAGAAAGCAAAAAAACTAAGAAAACCCTGGAAAACGAAAATCATCGACACACAGTTGCACAGAGATAGCCCCATCTCAAAAACAGTTCTCTCCGACCCTGTCGCAAACTCGAAGCTGTTTCCATTCCAGTTGACGACTTTGCAGACGAGTTTGCGAACAGATTCTTCCACTCATCGAGCAAAAACCGTTCCATATTTGCAGGCAGTCCTCCAGAGTGTTGGTCACAGCACTGTTCGACCAACAATTGGCCAACAGCGACGCGAGGAACATACATATTCGCCGCGGAAAACACGGGAAAAGAGCCGCGGATAGATAGACCGTCGCTTCGGAATCATCGGCCGGCAACGGCCGGAAGCCAATTGATTAATGGTTTGTTCATTAACGAGCAGTGCGGATGAAAGAGGTAGCGGGAAAGGCTACCTAGTTGTCCACGGCTCTGGAATAATGATCATCCTGGGAGGACAGGGAAAATTATCGTGTAACGATACCTGCGACCTGTGCGCGGCTGCTTCGTTGGAAAACGCGTGCATACGGACTATTCATTATCATTACAGAGACCACCATTTCCCGTCTCCTCCGTCCCCGCAGGCAACAAGAAAAGCTTTCGCTGAGCTTTCCTTGCTGAGAAAATCGCAAGAAGGAATTACAGTTTGCACAAACAAGTGCTAAATCAGGTAGGGAAGCATTGTTCTTCCGAAGGTTCGAATTGCTACCTGTTCAAATGGACTGTCTTGAAGTGTATATCATCGTTCGTGGCCCTCTTAGCTGCGAACGAGACGAGAAGGAATACACGCTGGTGAAGAAAATGGTAACACTTTTTGTGTAACGAGGAATATACTTGTGCGAGAATAGTAATTAGAATTTGCTATTGTTGCTCTTTATTGACTTTAAACTTTTCGTGGAAAATGAAACGAATCTACGTGATGGAATAATTTGTAGGGCAAATAAAACAAGTAAATGTTTGTAAATTTTCGAATATTTCTAATTCTTTTTACATCGTTTCTGAATGTTTCCTTGCTATTAATATTAATTATTATTAATTGACATCAGTGTGTTGATTTGTCGAAAGAAAAATTCCTCGTAATTTGTAAATTCGATTTTAAAGCTACGTATATTACGTGTGTGCACAACTACATACATTCTGTGGCAGAACAACGTATGGGATGAAAAACTTTCGTACGAACGGAGTCGCAAACTTGCCTTTGAAGATGGTCTAATAAGCAAACTATCCGATAAGTGATGTTTTGTGATTCTCGTGAAAAATTCTCCTTTCATTTGGACAGAAAAGAGTCAACTCTACTCGTCAAACGCGAATCCTAGAAACGAACGAAACGAGATGTGACGGGACATCGGTCGATTTTGCAAATATCCAACGGCCAAGCATTTTGCAAGTGTTGGTTTCTCGAAAAAAGGAAAAGAAGAAGAAGGGAGAGACGAAGCCGGCTCGGCGCAGCTGTTAAAGAAAAAGAAAAAGAAAAAGAAAAAAGAAAAAAGAAAAAAGAAAAAGCAGATCCCACGGTAAAGGAAACGAACGAGTGATTTTGACGGGCGTGTTGCGTACGTGTGTAGCGCATCTACATCGTCACGGTGGTCACGGCATCGAAAAAGAGCAGGACGATGACGTCAGAGAAAAAGGAAACACCGCGTGCACAACAGGTCATCGTTGTCCGTGTGTGCACACACACGCGTGCAAACAGTGGGCACACAGAAACGTGGGGCGTACACTCGTGAACAAAACGTACAAAGCTGGTAAACGTACGTGTATCACCGGGCTGATAATTACGGAAGGGGCTCGAGCGAGCTTCCGCTCGATAAAAACCAACCCGATCCAACAACGCAACACACTCGAATCAACGACTACGCCGAAACTCGGGAAGAAGCCACCGACATCTCTGCGCCAGGCGTTAAAGTCACCCACGATCCCCGCACGACTGATTTCTGGGCATTTTTGTTCTTTTTTTGGAATTTTATTTAAATGTCTTTGTTATTGATTGCGATAAAACTTGGAACAAATACGATTGACAAAGCGAATGCGAAGAATTTTGATTCTTTTAACTAAATTACCAGGAAGAATAATTTTTTTTAATATTTATTAATATTTAAATATTAAAGATTTTAACTAAATTACCAGGAAGAATAATTTTTTTTAATATTTATTAATATTTAAATATTAAAGATTTTAACTAAATTACCAGGAAGAATAATTTTTTTTAATATTTATTAATATTTAAATATTAAAGATTTTAACTAAATTACCAGGAAGAATAATTTTTTTTAATATTTATTAATATTTATTAATATTTATACATTTATAAATTTATTTAATTAAGTTTCGTTTTATTTTTTTAAATTTCATTTAATTTACTTTCGATAAGAATCTCAATTTTAATAAAAATTAATTTTATTATTTAATTTTAACTAATTGACTTAAGGCGAGTCTTAAAAATTTCAACTCCGGACAACCATACCCCTCTCAAAATTTCAATTCTGGACAACCAACCTTAAACCCTTTTCTGCAATTACGCTTTTTAGAATTTCTAGTGACTATTGTCATTCGACATTGATTGCATTCTATTCCACCAACTATAAATCGTCTACGAGTACGATCTTCTTACAATCGTATCTCGCAAACGTACTTTGACTGATTACTGAAAAACCTCGAAACATTTCTCACGACAACAAAGATTATTATACGATCAATTTTCCACACTATGGGCTAATTGAATCTGCCTGTGTAGTTAATGCCACGAAGAAGATGAGAAAATACGGTGTGTTGTTCTGAAAAGACGGGCACGACCTTGAAACCTCTCCTGTATATACACTGCAACTTATACGTCCTCCAGAAGAACATTTTGAATTCTATTGTATTAAGAATTTCCCTCTTAAACCCAGCGAAAGTTGATTGAAATCTGTGCGTCGGCGACAAATAGAATTTCACGAGAACTTCCCAGAAACTTTATGTTTAAAAATATATGTGATCATGGTGAATCATGGTGATTGAGTTTAAGAATTTCTTTTATAATAAATCTATGTCCCCCTTTGTATTAAAAACGAAAAAAGTTATTAGTCGTATCGTCAGATAAAGCCGGAAGTTCACGATATACAGAACCTTTCATCAACTGAGAATGATATGTGTGATGATTTTATACCCAATAATAAATACACTAGAGTAACTAATACGATGATTCTTCCCCTTCTGATCGAATTACACTGAAAGCTTTGACATTCGTCATGCGCCATTGGCCGTGTTAAGCTGGCTCTCATTTTTATCGATCAAACTGGTCGAACTTTATCTAACTTTATCTCTTGTGTTATTCAACAGCTCGTTAAGCCTCGTAATTTATTAGCCTACATATTAACACAGCTAAATTCTTATCAAAATTTCAATTAAAATTTCATTTAAATACGTGTATACATTTCTGTCGAGAAAATCTCGAATCGACTGATTTTCGGCGATTCGATCGAGCGTCAGAAAACCAGAAATCTCTAAAATATTATCACGTTATACATAAGCTCGTAAGACGATAATAACGTCGAAAGCGGCGAGATTCGTGGAAGACGCGGACAACACAGACAGCGGGAAAACAGAAACGTCAAAATAACTGAACTGACCCGACTACCGGTCGCGAAACATTCGCAGGCAGTTTAGCGGGCCGGTTTATTTTCAGTATTGCCGCGGTATCGTTTTCACAGCCGAGGCGAGCCGTCCCTCTATTTCCGAACCGGCAGAAACGATTCACGCTTCTCGAATTGTTTCGCAGAAACAATCGAAACAGAACGAATGCCGGTTCGCCGTGGCAAAAAAGTTGCTCTTCCAGGTTAGAAAAACTCGATCGCAGTGCTGCCAAATAGCAAAGCTACCAAAGTAATTCGACGCGCATGCGCGGCTCTAGCCAAGACTCCTTCGATTCGTAACGGAAATTACACACCGATAGAAAAATATTTCAATCCGACAGAATTATAGGGAGCAAATTTGCTTCGGGATTCAAATTTAGCGTAAAGATAACAGCAAAACAGTAACTGAATAATAGGTCATGCATCATAGTGAAAGGCTGACACGCGTGATCTTCGTTAACGTCTCAGGCTCATAACCTAACGATTTCGTTGCTGCGATCGGGATTTATAGGGAATACAATTTTTAGAGAAGCAACATCGAAAGTTTTCCCTTCCAACCTCACAACTCCAAATAAACTTACTTTTCTAAGCTCCTCCACCTCTTTGATTATGCTATACTATATCATAGTATAGTACAATCAAATATAGTACGAATTGTAATGTATAATAGAAATATAACAGCAAAATAGACTTACTTTTTTAAGCTTCTCCACCTCTTTGGCATCCTCTGCGAATTGCACGGACTGCAAAACAGGAAACACAACATTAGACGCAAGCACACGATTACTTCTAAATGTAGAAATTAATTTCTAAATAACTTCCGTGAAATTGTTCTAACTGCCGTAGTGTACGCGACGGGCGTCTAACCGATAATCGATACAAGGGACGATTCGCGTAATTAATAAAAAAAAAAAATATATCGCTGTATCGAACCGCGTAACGTTTCACATAAGCACCAATGTTGTACATAATAAATAATCTATATTTAATACGCGTCTATTCACGTAAGAAACGTACACACAAGTCACCCCTGATTAACCTTTTGCGCTAGTAACTGGTTCACGACGGACCATAACGAGTGACTAACAATTCGACAGAAATTACTAAGAAATAAATTTATTATTTGTTAGTAAGAAAGTTAATAGAAATTACTAAATAATAAATTTATTATTTGTTTTGCCTGGGTTATATTTCAATATACTTAAAACTGAGAAAATATTGCAATTTTGGGCCAAATATTCTCAACGTGTGTGGCACATCATTCCAGCGCAAGAGGTCAATTGATGAGAAAAGAAAAGAAAAAACGAAAGGATGTTTACCTCGTCCGTTTCCGGATTGTCCTTGCCGAGGACATAGTCCACGATGACGCTCGCTGTTTCCAGATTGACTAGGGAATAGTAATTGTCGTCGATGGTCTCTATACTGTCGGTGTCCGTATCGTTGAGCAACTCGTAATCGAGCGATTTCGAGCCATGGCATTTGGTCACGAAAGAACGCGCGAAACTACTTTTGAAGACATGTCGAGACACTTCGTTCCCGACTGCGAAATTCACTTTCGGTGTCTCGGTCATGATTCTCGACAAATATATATATATATATATATATACCGGCGAATATCGTGCAAAAAAAAAAAGCTCGAAGCTGCTATTCGTGAAATATAGGCTGTATCCTTTCGAGATGATAACCCGAATGTTAATGAACGACAATGAGAGAAACGATCTGGTGGCACATCCAACGAACGATGATGAAAAAATAATTCAACGATCCTTGCTGCTCTCGTGGTTTTCACTTATTTTTCATAGCCACTCTAATATATCTCGTCGCACATGGAGTCGAAAGTTATACCGATGTAAATTTGATAGTAATTGGAAATTACCGCGTGTAAAACAAATCGTATACAATGCGAAAAACTATGTGTATTTGTATTACACTACACTTTTGGTACACACTACACAACAGCTGTGCGTGCCAAACTGACAGACGAGATTATCCAGCTGCGCGTTCCACACAACGAAAAACTAGACCTTAACCCGAGCGCTTTCCAGCAGACACTGACTGTTGACCGTAAGGCAGCTGCAGTTTTGCTAGCGATCGGCAAACGGGGAAAGGGGAGGGGATTCACGTGTTGCCGTGCTGCACATGCGCTGACCTAAAAACTACGCGCCACACGATTCGTCGTGTAATTACGCTTACTTCATGCTTTATATTACATTTAATGTTTTAATTTTACAGACGATATGATTTTTATGTACTTTTGCATAAATTGCAAACGTGTATAGCAATTTATAACATTATTTACAGCAATGACAATTAAAATATTTATCAATTGAAATAAATCTTGAATAAATATTTATCAATTAAAATATTTATCAATTCGCAAATGCTTATACACGTTTTAATTACAAAATATATCGAATTTTTGTTTTAAATAGTTTTATAAATAATTAAAAATTAATATAGGCGTTTCAAGATGTAAAACAGTTTAATGTTTACGCGTGTAAAATTATAAATTGTATTTAATTTAATTAATTGTTTTAGTTAATTTGTAACTAGGTGGCGGTAAGGTGGCCGTCCATCGTGTCCCATTGAAGATTGTTTCCATTCTGCGTTAAGTACAAGTTCATGACATGATTTTAATTATTTTAGTCGTAATGTTCAATTACTCATTTTCTCTTTGCTAACATTTTAAATATACTAATTATATTTTTGAACGATATATGTGTATCATACTCTATATACTTTATTCCTCGTTAGTTTCTATTTGATAGTCTTGTAAATAAACGAATGATTATCAATTTGAACTAAGAAAATCAATTGAAACGAATCTAGTTTTAAGCATTAATTTTCTGTATATCAATTAATATTAATTATTGTAACGATTGGTTAAACGTATCACAATATAGATTTTAAGTTGTTGATATGAAATTCAATAGGTTAATCGACTAGACTTACCTAACATAACCTCCAACAAGGTTATAAATAGAGAACCGTTGTCTCGTGTTGTACCATAATCAAACTGATAAACATTTTCAAAAATGCCACGATTACCTCTGCATCCCTCATCGGGGACTGGTATTGTGAGTAGACTTTCTAAAACGATACGACTTGTTCGCTACGGATGTGCCAACAGACCTTTTTATCATATTGTTGTTATGACCGTAAGTAACACTTTCTTAACTACCTTTTAAAATTTTGCTTATTCAGCTTTGTAATTGTGCAAATCGTCGAAATCTTTCACTTTTCTATCTGTCAGTCGCATTTTGTTTACTACAATTTTATAATAGGTTCTTTGTGGTGCGTAATGGTGTTCATATAATCCAATTTTATTTCAGACTAAAATTGGGCAGCATAAACCTCCAATAGAACAATTAGGCAGCTATGATCCTCTGCCGAACAAGTATAACGAAAAATTAATTTCATTAAATTTTGAGAGAATACAATATTGGCTAGGGCAAAAGGCGTTAGTATCAAAACCAGTGGCAATAATGTTAGGACTTTGTGGTTACTTTCCAATACATCCAAGAACTTATATGAAAGCATGGAGAACTCGAAGGAGAGTTGCCGCAAAAGCTGAAACAAATAAGAATTTAGAGTCAGAAGCAAAATCAAAGGCAGACGCTGCAGGTTAACGTCACTTAGTTATTTTATTTGTATCATAAATTTAATTTGTAAACAATGTACGCATTTAAATAAAACTGTTACGAAATGATATGTTATATTGGTTTAATGTTGTATTAATGAGAATTTTAAAAAAAGAAATTGCAACATAGTAAAAATAAAAGAGACGCATGTACTAACTTTTTTATCTTGATACACGTTTAATACGATAGTTATTGGCATGTAATAATTAAATATACATACAATATGTATTCCAGATGTTTCAAAGTCTCGATATCTGAATAAAAAAATAGACAAAAAAATATTTCCCCAGGTGAGGCTCGAACTCACAACCCCGGCATTGCTCACAAATTTACTGTCTTATAAGTACCGTGCGCTAACCAATTGCGCCACTGGGGATTTGTACTTTGCAGTTTCTTATTTATGTTTATAAGAAGATGAATAAAAAATATTGTTCGAAATAAACAATAATTATTAGATACATCTTGATACGAATACAAGAAAAACATAATATCATAAAAAAGAGCAATTTCGCTAATTCGTGCTTCTAAACCTAACCTGCACATAAAATGTTTACAATATAAGCAAATTTAAAATAAATGTTTATTAATTTCGTTATAGATACATTACTCGATAATAATTTATTAATTGTTCCCTTAATGATTTCTATCTTCGTATACGTCAATGGCAAGGCATAAATTATTCCATAAATCAATGAGATTCTCTTTTGTAAGATTTGGTTCACAAAATTTCAATAACAAAGTTTGATTTTCTTCTGCAAATGTTATTCCTACAATGTCAAAACTATGATGTACTGCAAAAAAAAAAAAAAAAAAAAAAAAGAGGATATTGATTGTATTTATTACCTATTTTTCCAGAATTTATAACAAAATGATGTTCGATTCGCCAATATCGTTCCAAGAACAATATTGACCATTGAAATATCAAATACACTTGTTTTTTGTCTTCGGTTGAATGTACATGTACCAAAATCCCACCATTTTCGTCTGTACACTGTTTACAGCTTACATACTTCTCAGCAACCATCTTCTCAAGTATCTTGTTTCTTAGAATACTTTGCTCATTATATTGTGAAATTGCTAAAACAAATATTTAACAGTATTCTTTACTCATTTTTTTCAAAAGATTATACGATTTATAAATTACCAGATGTAAGAAATGAGAAGTTTTTCATTTTTGTCATATTCTGAACCCAAGGTTCAATTTCCAACATATAACATTTATCAATGTTTATAAAATGGCATGTTACATCACAAATTTCAAATTCTTTTTCACCCTATGATAAAATAAAAAGATAATATATCAGAACAGTTTCATTCTGTCGTGGAAAAAGTATTAATTGTTTTATATACCTCCAATTTTACTGTCAACTCTACATAGAAATTTAATGTTTTCGTTACCAAATAAGTTGTATATTTATAAACATTATCACGTAACCATTTCTTATCTATATCTTTAAATGTTATGCCAGAAACGTGGCGAGAAAATTCACATACACTATGTGAATATGTTTCATACTGTTCTTGTAATTTTTCTTCTCTATTATCAGTAAATTCTATAATATCTGGTAATCTGATGTCGAAATAATAAATGTTAATATCTCAAGCAAATGATAAATATAATATAAAAGAGCAAATATGATACAACTTTGATGTAACAACTTGTTCCTCACTATCCTGCTCCTTTAATTTTTCAATCAAACTGTATGCTTTTGCAATAAGGTCATCTTTTAATTTATTTAGTGCAATCAATTCAGGATCTTCCATTATCCTAAAATGAAATTAGATGCAAATTATTAAATAATTAAATAAATAAATATTTCTACAAGTTTTATTGTATACACTGAAAGAATAATATATATTTAATAGAGTTACGAGCAATTTCAAGATTATTTACATATAAAATTTAGAAATTACATTAAAAAATATGCTGAAAAATAATTTACTATTATTAAATTATATTCTTAAAGTTGTAGCCAATATCTTCTTGATTATGAAAAAATTGCAAATGAAATATCACAAGTGGAAATACATAAATATGGATGTTCGTAATCGTATATAACTTGGTTTAGTACTCATAGCATAAACATAACCTTAATTTACATGAATATCCGTATTTATGAATATCAGTACAGAAGTATGTAACATGTAACATTATTTCATTTTTGATACAAATAATTTACATGATAATCATTTACTCATACTTCGTATACAGCAGATAATTATACAAAATCTGTCATTAGTTTATCATTGAGGAATAATTTCATTCGACTTATAAAGAACATAAATTAGTGAAAAAGTTTTAATGTTTTAAGTGGGAAAGTAAAAAGAATTGATATATATTGTTAAAATGGACGATGAAACATTAAACAAGTGAGTTTATACCTTAGTTAGTTTGTACCTGAATATATGAATATTAGATCGTTGTAGATTTATATACCAAATATCTTTAAATATGAAGGTTAACTTGAAAGTTTATATATACATTTCATAGAAATAATACGATATTTTCAAAATCGTAAACTAACGTGAAACCCCATACAAAATCAACTAATATTCATTTGTAATTTTTAAAATTATTTATTACAGCCTAGTAAATAATTTAGATAAGGTAATTTTATTTTTAGACTTGCAGTTGAGGCATTATTAGAAGAAGCAAAGCTTGGAGCAAAAAGAGCAGAAATAATGGGTCCTAGTGGATGGATAAAACCAAAAGAATCTATTAATAAAAGATTTCTTCACTCCACATTACGTAATGTTGTTCTTTCAAATAAGTATCAATTAAAGAGAAAAAGTGACAAACAACTGCGTATGTCTGAGAATACATTGAAGTAATTTCTTTCTTTTGTTATTTGTATGTTAAATTGCTTGCAACAGTTTTTGTTTTGCTTCTGTTAATTCAGAATTACATTATTCTAACAGCATTGAAACCTACATTATTTAGCATCTATTGCAAGTTTCATTGAACTAAATAAATTTAGAAGAAAATAAAAAGAACAAACGATATTTATTTAATTAAGTAATCTGAAAAAGGATTACCAAGGTATTTAAATTGATGTACATCTAGAGATGCTGCAATGAAACTGTAATGAATGTAAAATTTAAGAAATACGAATAACTGACAAATAATTTTAAGCATATTAGTATTACGTGATGTAGCATGTGATATAATACATTGTACAATACAAAGTAATAATAAGAATTGAATAAATAAATTACAACTTATTCCTTAGATTAGTATTATGAAAAGAACAACGTAGAATAATTGTTAATGAAAATAAATAAAATAAAAAAGAAATTTGAAAAAACTATAAGTTTTCAGTTAAGAAACCGTGACATTTCTATTTTGATTTGACTTAGAAATATCAAAAATATAAGATTAACAGGATTTACATTTATATATGTTTTTTATGTATATATATGTATCTTTAGATATCTTGTTACATACTATTAGATAATGTGTTATATAAAAAATTGATATATTATATGAAAAATTGATAATGTTATGTAAATAATGGAGCAATTAGAATGGAACTTCTTTTTAATTAAAGAGTTATTTTGTAACATGCGAAGATGTATCTTTTAAAAAAAATTATACACAATTGTAAGTTTGATTAGTTATTTTTCCCAAAAATTTATTTCATTTACTTGCGAGTTTAATTTTATTTTACAGAAACGACATAAAAACAAACAATTATTTTTACATTATATCAAAGATTAATGCAATCATAACAACAGAGTATCGATAATATTTTAATTATATCATTGATCATAGTTGTCCATAGATTTGGAAACCACGTGGTTCTCACTATTCTCACTTCCGTCGATATCGTTCTTTCACGTTTGCGTTTCGCACGGTGAAGGAATTGTTGAGAAACTAGTTATCTCGAAGGTACGATAAAATATAACATTTATTTGTTCTTCAAACCATGGCGGCCAGCATAAGAGGACTCTGTAAATTAAATGTTTCTCTGACGAACAACTTGTTATTTAAATATAACTTTATAAATGGTATGTAATATTCCTAACCTAAATCTGTACTATATAAATTTAAGTCGGAATAATACGTTGGAAAATTGCCGCGTCGTGAAACTTAATTTATGAAAATTATCATGAGAAAAATGTGTTTTAAGCATCGATTTCTCAGAACTTTTAAAGTTCATTTCTGACAACGTTCATTTTTTTGGTTTTTTGATAGTTGGAATTCGGCATCTTTACACGGAACGAGACTTGGGTATAACGTTGTACGAGAATTCAAGATTTATGTTCCGCAATCAATTTATGACGATAGAAAATACGTTTCGCGAGAAAATGAAGGAAATTTGTCGGGACAACGAAGGGATAATATATACAGAAGATTTGAAAGCAATGATACATTTGGCACAAGCCGAAGGAAATGATATGCAGCTAGTAGAGTCTATGTTGGAGAAATATATACATAATGTTGAAGAAAAGAAGTATGGTAGATACGTGTTTGGGCCAATCATAATGAGAATGTTTTATTATTTGAATCAGCCGCAGTATGCTTTAAATGCATTTCAAAACGAATCTTTGAAAGAAAGTTTCGATTACCGCACGGCCTTCCGTATTTTAATGTGTCTGTTCTATAGAAATGATATGTTTGCGCAAATGCGAGAAATATATGACGAAGTTTTGGAAAGGAAAGGCATAGATTTTATTGGCAGTTCTAGTGTCTTAATTTATGCTGCGTGCTTGAAGGAGGTAATAGTAATTCTTAATTAATAATTCAGTGCACTAATAATTCGATTAACAATAACTTGATTAACATTTCAATCTTTTTATTTAGAATACCCCGGAGTCGTTAGAATATGCGTTACGCCATTGGAAATTACAGTTTGATAAATTGATGCCTTCAGTAAGATGTTGTACATTAGTATCAATGCTAGCATTAAAACATAAAAAACCTGAAATAGCTCTGGACATATTAAGTACAGTAAAAGTAGACAGAGTTCTCAGTGTCAGAGCTCTTAAAATTATGGCTTATACACATTTGGGAAGATACGTACAAATAATCCCTGTTATGAAGTACGCGTTAGAACAAGAAGTTGGTGTTTTCAGGCCACACCTCTTTTTTGCAGATGTGGTACGTAAAATTGGTGTAAATTTAATTCAACCTGATATTGATTTTTGTACAAACTGCGTTCCTTTATACCAATGTTACAGTTATGTGAATTAGAAGAAAAGATAAAGGAAACCGATACGGAAGAAAACAGACAATTATTGAAATTAATAGAACAAGCAAAGAAACAGGATATTATTCAAACATCTGTAAGTTTAGAAATTTTTCAATAACCTGTAGCTATGTATCATTTGTCGTTAACGTATAATTTTTATTTGCCAAAGTGTACCCTGGAAGAATTTCTATTGAGACCCATGACAATGACGAATAGAACGAAACAACAATTCCAGGATGACAGGAGGCCTAGGAACCGTTACCAATTTACAAACCGACAGCGATTTAATAATTCGGAGCCAAATCAGAACGTAGAACGGCAAAATACGAGATCTGAATTAAGAAGTTTTTTGTAATGCATTTACTTCGTTTTTTCATTAAAAATTAATTATATATTTTACCAATCAACCTATATTCAAAGAAACACGTTTCATTAGCGGATCTTACGCTCCAGATATCTCGGTTTGATATATAAGTCAACAATTGAACTCGTGTACTATAAGTAATTGTAGTAATTGTAATTACGAAACTAATAAAATAAATTTGAAAAAGACTGTTTAAAGGACCAAAGACATTATTATTTTATCTGTTCAACGTCCTGTTGAATGTTTCAACGACTTTTGGTATTGACATTTAATTTTCCACACTAGTAAATAAAGTATCCCTCGCTTCTGTATCGGTGTAAAATTTTATGCTGTTTGCCCACGTTCTGACAATTCAGTGAATTCTTTTGTAATTTCTGCTAATCGTGTCGACAAAGGTTGCGAAGAGTTAAATGTTTCAACGACTCGCACGAATGGAATCCTTCGACTCCGTTGATCATGATGATCAAGGATCATCGAATCGATACGAACTTGATATCGCTTTCGGAGATGCCGGACTAGATTTCGGCTACCGATCGAACGAACGAATCGTCATCGAATCGTCACGTTCAAGGACCGAGGGGTCCCTCAAGAATACGAGAACTTGGGCAAAACGGTCGTTGTGCGATTTGCCTGGCACGCGGTGAATATTCCCGGTCGATGTGGTCACGCTGAAAATCGCGATCTGCTCGAAAGCCAGAGAGAGAGACAGAGTGTCGGGGATTGGGAGGGACGACGGTGTTAGGATGAGAATCAGCAGCGCTGGTGATGGTACCTGTGCGAAACGAAGGAAGAAAAGGACGATGCACACTAGCTCTCCGTTGCGGTACGGGGGTTTGGGGGTGCCCGAATGACGTCATGTTGCTAAAGCGACGCGGCAACGCTAAGCGTCTGCGTGGGTCGACGGGTGTCTGGGCCAGGATCAATAGCGTGCCAGCAACCAGGTAGTAGGTGTGAGTGTATGTAGGTTTCTGAACGGTGGCAGTCCAGGAGACGAACCTTCCGAGGTAGGACACTTCACGAGTCGAGTAGAGTTCCAGTGTCGCACCGGAGAGCGCCATGCCAGTATCACTGCATCACGGAACCCACATTGCCTAGGATTATCAGCTTCTCCAGGTAACTAACACGTCTCTTTCCGCTCATTTCGCTCCAAGCGAACGAACGGGCCGCCTCGATCTTTCGATCCTTGATGGGTTAACGAGAACTTTCGAAACCCACCCCGTTCGAGAGTGTTTGTGTGCGGCAAAACGATTCGGGGCCACCACCCACCGATCAAACCGTACCGAACGGTCCCGGTCCTCCTTTGGACCCCGCGTTTCCTCCCATATTAATCTCGTTGATTTGCCCACCACCCCGGCGGTTCGCCTGTCGCAGACCGGGTCCACTGGTTCCAAAATCCCGTTGAGATTTCTCATTGCGTTCTCGATCATCTTTTCTTCTTCTTCTTCGTCATTTTTTTTTTTTTTTTTTTCTCGTGCAAGTGTCTCGACAGACAACAAGCAGCAAAAGGCTTGTTGGAGTAAAAAAATCAACGAGCAGAGAGAGAGAGAGAGAGATTGACCTGGACTGCTGTGGCCAATCGAGGCAGTGGTACAGGTCAACAGAAAGATTGGCAAGGAAAACGACGAAGGGGGGAAATACGGAGAGCGTTAGATGAAACAGCGAGAAATGAGATGAATGCTCGTGGTGGGGATTGTGCGTAACACACAGATATGGATCCCATCGACGTCTACGCGAGAGAGTTGGTTATCTATCTGGTTGCTGGAAAAAAAAGACTCTGTTTTTGTTATCGCGGATTAATGTGGCCAACTCTCGTTATTCTACGCTCTCTCTCTCTCTCTCTCTCTCTCTTTCTCTCTTTTTTCCTATTTCTCTCTCCATCCCTCCCTGCCACCCTCCCTTCCCTCTTTCCCACCCCCTCCTCGCCATCGCCGCTTCTGTCTTCTCTCGGTGGCGTCACAGAGGATGCCTCGTTACACGTTTCATCCCTGGCTGTTAACATGCGACTTGAAAAGACGCGTAAACCGAGAGACAAGAGAAAAACGACGAGAAAGAAGAAGACGGGGAGAAATCATCTGCCTGCCGATGAGATGTGACGAAATTTTTTTCTTCTTTCTCCCTTTTCCTTCTTCCCTCCCACCCTCTCTTCTTTTACGTACGACGAGATGAAATGTGTCGCGGGGACAAGCCGAGCGTATTTTACCTGATTAAAATTAACGCCAGACGAAGGGGGAGCGTTTAACAACGGGGTGGAGGGAGAGCAATTACTTAAAAACACGTATCCGCGTATCGAGGATTTGTCTGATAAAAGGAATTTGTTCCCGCTCTTGCCGGAGCACTCTCGAGAAACAGGAATGCAAACATGTTTCGTATATACGTACAAGTATGTATATATAATATACGTATACACATATACGTATGCTACGTACGTATAACACGTATATATAATATATGTATATATTATTGAAATTATTATATAATATATAATATTATAGTATTATAATAATATTATAATACTATGATAGTATATATATATATTATAGTATTATATATATTATAATACTATGATAGTATATATATATTATATTATATAATATTATTATAATACTATTATAGTATTATAATAATATTATAATACTATGATAGTATATATATATTATAGTATTATATATATTATAATACTATGATAGTATATATATTATATTATATAATATTATTATAATACTATTATAGTATTATAATAATATTATAATACTATGTATATACAATAGTATTATGTATAATATTATAGTATTATACAATATATGTATATATATCTACACATATAATACGTATAATACATGTATACATTATATATATATTTTAGTATACAGGTACGTACGTATATACGCACACATTCACACACGTACACACATGTGCGCAGACACATCCGGCGCTGACCTAATTCGTACGACGTAACGTTCGCAGCAATCATTTGCCTTTCGCGTATCCTGTTGCCGCTTTCAACTCTTAACCTCTCCCGCGATTCGCGTAATTAAATGGGAACGCGCGATACATCGTATCATTCAATCGACCCGTTTCATTTATTCTTCCATTCCCGGGGAAACGGCAGAGAGAATTTTCCCCGCCACGAAATTTACAGCGAACCCGAACGAGATCGACCGATTGCCAGGATTAATTAATTAGAAGCTGGACAATTTATCCGCTTCTATCAACTTGTCGGGGGACCAATCTCTCACACCGAGCTACTTTTGCCACGACGTTTCTTACTACTGATCGACTGCTAATTAATTTCGACTCTCATCCGAGGGATCCTGCTATCTTTCCATTTTTCATACTATTAATTATTAATCGAGTGATTTTCGTTTACGCGAAGCGAGAAGCCCCAGGCTGATTAACGTTAATTAACCACCTGCGCTGGCAACTGATTGCGGACCGTAACGAGTGATCGAAATCGTGTACAATAATTCGCTTTCTTTTTAAACTCGTCGGTACGATGTCACTGGACAGAAATTATCGAGAAGTAATAAATTTATTATTTGTTTTGCCTGGATTATACTTAAATATACTTAAAAACTGAGAAAATATTGCAATTTTGGGACAAAGAGGTTAACTTGCGCTGGCAACTGATTGCGGACCATAACGAGTGACCGAATCGTATACAATAATTTGCTTTCTTTTTTAATTCATCGGTATATCACTGGATAAAAGTTACTAAAAAGTGATAAATTTATTATTTGTTTGGCCTGGGTTATACTTAAATATACTTAAAATTGAGAAAATATTGCAATTTTGGGGCAAAAAGTTCTCGACGTGCGTGGCACGTCACTCTAGCGCAAGAGGTTAACTACTTGCGCTGGCAACTGATTGTGGACCATAACGAGTGACCGAACCGTATACAATAATTCGCTCTCTTTTTAAACTCGTCGGTATAATGTCACTGGACAGAAATTATTGAGAATTATTTGTTTCGCCTGGGTTATTCTTAAATATGCTTAAAAACTGAGAAAATATTGCAATTTTGGGACAAAGAGGTTAACCACTTGCGCTGGCAACTGATTGCGGACCATAACGAGTGACCGAAATCGTGTACAATAATTCGCTCTCTTTTTAAACTCGTCGGTATAATGTCACTGGACAGAAATTATTGAGAATTATTTGTTTCGCCTGGGTTATTCTTAAATATACTTAAAAACTGAGAAAATATTGCAATTTTGGGACAAAGAGGTTAACCACTTGCGCTGGCAACTGATTGCGGACCATAACGAGTGACCGAAATCGTGTACAATAATTCGCTCTCTTTTTAAACTCGTCGGTATAATGTCACTGGACAGAAATTATTGAGAATTATTTGTTTCGTCTGGGTTATTCTTAAATATACTTAAAAACTGAGAAAATATTGCAATTTTGGGACAAAGAGGTTAACCACTTGCGCTGGCAA